CTTTGGGCCCCTTGGTACCAATTGAGCATCGTTGCAACGCCACAGCTTACCTGAGTATTGTTGCTGACCATCCCTTTATGACCACAAAACCGTTACTAGCGTGGTGTACCTAATAAAGTGGCCAGTGAGTGTATATCTGCATCTATTTGATGCTGTGTTTGGAATCACCAGCTTTGTTTTAAGGTGGTAAAACAAATTGCTTGTATTTATTCCTTTCTACACACTTTGCAGAATACTTTTTCTGCACTCCACGTGTTTAATCTGCGCACGCTCCGGAGGGGTGACTTTTCTTTCCTTTTTTTTTTTTTGGAAAGACAGTCTGACTGTCACCCTTTCCCACAGCACTTCCCCACTGTACAAGGAGACAGTATTGCGCTATGACCGCAGAAGGAACGAGGTCCAGACACTGCGAGCTCTTGTGCGTCCTGCTGGAGCACTGACTTCACCTGCACTGACAGTCGCTTCGCTGAGTCACCATGTGCTGCGGCGCACGCGCTCCTCCCGCTGCAGGCGCACCGTCACGTAAACATGTAAACAGTTCGGCGTTCATTTTCGCACACCAGAACCAGGTCCGGATAAGTTGTTTTTTTTCCCACCTCTTCATTTGCGCTCTCAGCCTCGCTGCTTCCCGCTTCCTCTGTTTTGACTCCAGCCAGTTGTGTCATCAAAAACAATTGCGCGGTTGGTCGGTAGACTACAGATCTCTATCATAGGACAAATTCATATCGTTTCTACCGTATATCGTTTATATCGCGCATTCCTACACACTTTTTATCATCATAAGTGATTTAGGACAACATCGGATCATTCAGAGATCCTCACTGAACTTCTGGACTCAGTTCGCTGCTCTGAAAGTAAAGAGGACGAATAATTTTGCACGGCCCATTTTTCAGTTTTTATTTGTTAAAAAAAGTTTAAAAGATCCAATAAATTTCATTCCACTTCACAATTGTGTCCTACTTGTTGATTCTTGACAATAAAAATAAATTTTATATCTTTATGTTTGAAGCTCGAAATTGTCATGGTCTGTGTTTATTTTCCTTAGTTTTCTAGTGTTTTCAGTGTTCCCCTGTGTTTCTCAGCCCAGCTGCCCCACATTTCCTTGATTGTCACCCTTGTGTTTCTCCCCAGGTGTTTTCTGTTTAGTAATTAGTTTTCTGTGTATTTAAGCCCTGTCCTGTCTCAGTCTTTGGTGGGATCATTGTTTGATGTGTTGGTTCTGGTTCTCTGTGCTTTGTTCCCCCTGCCTGTGTGATCCTCGTGCCTCCTGTAAGTTCAGCTGTCTCTACAGCATTTTTTGTTATTTAAAATAAATTTTTGTTCAACTTTTGGAACCTGCCTGCACCCTGGATCTGTTCATGCCAAATCCCCACAGAAATATGGCAAAAGGTTGAAAAGTTCAAGGGGGACAAATACTTTGGCAAAGCCCTGTATATCTTTTGTTCTTGTTTAGAAATTTTACTTTATTTATTAATAATTCTGTAAAGAAATACATTTGTTACTTTTAATAAAATTTTATCTTTTTATCCTTTGTCTTTTTATGCCACATTTAGCAAGTGTCCTGAACATTTCTAACCTCAGTGCTGAAGATCAGAGCTTCTGATCCAAACAGCTTCATCTCTTCAGGAAGATGTTCGAAGGCGTTCACATACGGAACAAACCCCTCCTTCACCAGCCTGAAACAAAGTGTGAGGTCCAGGTGTGAGGACCAAGTGTGAGGTCTGAGTGTGAGGTCCAGGTGTGAGGACCAAGTGTGAGGTCTAGGTGTGAGAATCAAGAGTGAGGTCCGAGTGTGAGGTCCAAGTGTGAGGACCTGGTGTGAGGTCTAGGTGTGAGGACCAAGTGTGAGGTACAAGTGTGAGGACCAAGTGTGAGGACCTGGTGTGAGGTCTAGGTGTGAGGTACAAGTGTGAGGACCAAGTGTGAGGACCCGGTGTGAGGTCTAGGTGTGAGGACCAGGTGTGAGGACCAAGTGTGAGGTCCGAGTGTGAGGACCGCGTGTGAGGTACAGGTGAGAGGACCCGGTGTGAGGTCTAGGTGTGAGGACCAAGTGTGAGGTCCAAGTGTGAGGACCGGGTGTGAGGTCCAGGGGTGAGGACCAAGTGTGAGGTCCAAGTGTCAGGACTGGGTGTGAGGTCCAGGTGAGAGATCCAGGTGTGAGGACCAAGTGTGAGGTCCAGGTGAGAGGTCCAGATGTGAGGACCAAGTGTGAGGACCCGGTGTGAGGACCAAGTGTGAGGTCCGAGTGTGAGGACCGGGTGTGAGGTCCAGGTGTGAGGACCAAGTGTGAGGTCCAGGTGTGAAGACCAAGTGTGAGGTCCAGGTATGAGAACCAAGTATGAGGTCCAGGTGTGAGAACCAGGTGTGAGGTCCAGGTGTGAG